TCTCTTTTTGAATGCATAAGTCAGGTTTAAGTTTTTTTATCATCATGGCTTCAGTAAAACGGAGGGTGGTCGTACTTCTTTGTCTATTGATAATTTTGAAAGCATGCGGAATGTCGATGGTGTGCCCGGTGTCAAGTAGATGTCGAGCTATTGCGCTGTTGAAAGCCTTAGTCTCTCGCAGCCTCCAAATAATATGAATTCATACTATTCTGCACCAATATTTGTTCTTGCTTTATTTAAATTCACAAAGGGAACCAATTGCATGAAATTCCTCTTTATCGTTAGCTTAGGTGTTGATGCAAACCAGTACTAAAACAACGTTTTGCATTTAGGTGGGGAAAAAAACACATCTTAAACACGCTTATATTATTACATAAGGTGGTCAGAAGACTCTACACTCTTTTTACACCGATTTCCGAAAAGAGAATAAAGACAGTTAAACAACTTAATGAATATAAGGAAAAAATAAGAGATATAAAAACTTACCCAAAAACGAGATATTCATAAAACCATTGAGGTACAATATGAAGAGAGAATGGTGAATTAGCACGTTCAACTAATAAAACTATTTTCTCATCTAATAAACGAACAGTACTATGACCATCAATTTCAGTAATATAATAATTCAATGGAATTTTATCACTTTTTGTACTGAAATATTTTGTACGATCTAAAATCATACCATCATTGATGAAAAGACCACATTTTCCATGAATTTTATAAATTGTTTTGACTTCTCTATAAGGGCTAAATAAACAAACAAACACGAAAACAATATCAATAAACTTGTACAGTCGATTCACTATATTGTCTGTTTGTTTACTATAAATATAACTTCTTGATCTAATATTTAATAGATGTATGAGATAACTGTTATATACAAACGAAGAATAAAGGAATGGTAACATCCAGGACCCCGACCGTTGTTGCTACCTTGACGTGGTGGTCGGGCTTGCCTATCGTGATGAAGCAACCGAGCTATACTGGCTGGAACAACCGTTCCTCAAGGTCCTACCATGTCAGACAGGTCGGTTGAAGAGCGGTAAGACTAAAAGCAACAAACCCAAGGTCCGAAGGCGAAGTCGTACTGCTGACTGTACAGAGGTGTGACAGCAGTAAGGTGTTTCCTTCAGACAACCAGCATGACAGCGATGCTGCCTTCCCACAAGGAGGGGTGGGGCTAGAAAAGGTCGACCCTAAAAATGCACACCTCGCCTTATCCCATGGATATCCGTCTCCGGCGGTAAGGTCTCAACAAGTACGGAGCTAACACAAAAATTACCCATAAAAAGGTCGTGTGTGACCGACCTCAAGCAGTTGTCCCTTGGGCACTGAGGTCACGCTCCCAGGTCACTGAGACCACCTCTAATCCAATTTCCTTTTCAGGTACCTCCAGAAGAACCGTTCCACGGTGTGGGCAACCGGGAAGTGATAACCGCCCTCATACCTCTAACAGCACTCAAGACTATTGTAGCTGACTGAACATCCAGGACTAACTTACGGATTGGTGTTATATATATAGGCCCCTACCAGGATTCTTCAATCAGCTCTGTCTACTTAGCGTATGTGGCGTACATTGTTTCATTGACTGATTCCAAAATAATGCCTTCTATCATAATACGTACATCGTGAGAAACAAGTGTAATGTTGAGTATTTAAGAGCAGGTCAGGTTTTATTTAGCTCATAAATGCGCCAATTACGTCCTTACCTGTCTTCATATGCTTCGACACCACCACGTGTATTACAGGTCACCACTAATTATTATATTTCTAGACATTGGAGCTATATTTAATTCGTTGGATGGAGTTGTCTTCTAGTATTGTTGACTATTAACAGATATTAGCGATGTTTACTAAAATTTTTGAGACGTTTGAGACATTTCAGGTAGGTCAAAGCCATATAACCATACTCCTAAATTGTTCAAAACTGGAAGTACTGTCGTTAAATCCGCCCAATTCACTACAATTACGCTGTCAATCACATTCTAAGGGTGTAAATTTATCACCAGTTGAAAGATGTTTTGACCTTGAATATGAAAACATCATTTCAATATGAAATGAGGTACAGACTATTGATTTCATCAATTATTGATCAGCAACCGTAAGTATAGTGTTTGTTTAGCACGATTGAAATGTGAAGCAATTCTAAAAGACTTATATGAATCTATGGCTTCACTCACACTTTATAGTGTATTGCTCAAAATATTTAAAGACTTTGTGTACACTTGTGGCTGTGTAAATGCCAGAACAAGATCAATATTAATGTAATGCAAACCTGAGAGTCACATATCAATATGAATCATTGGATGAATGTTATAATCTTGGAAACATCCAATCTGGTGGTTGAGCCACATTTTACAAATGTCCTCTCAGAGGCTCACCATAAACAGAATTATTTTTTGATACTAAGATAATATGGAAATAAATTGAGACGCACTGTTGAACGTAATGTATTTGTATGGAGTTAGCAACCTTTTGCTTTACAAAAATAGACTAAAGGGATTTGTTTTAAAACTATTTACATTATTTATTTGATTATGTAAAATTTTATCATCTATAGGTCGAAATAAAAGCCAATGATGATGCTGAAATGATTTTTTTATTATATCCCTTATGAACAGCATGGTAGATCATTTAAGTGAACTTGCACTGCTTCAGTTAATACTTTTTATCCTAGTTTTTAAGATTTATTCCATTTTATTTATTCAAAATGTTGTCATTTCATTTTATGTGAGACATTTATTGACTCCCTATTTGTACCAAACACCCTTTGTGCGTAATAAGTCTTAAAATACAGTTGTTAATACTTGAGTTGAAACTTGTTAATCAATAATCCGCTAATATAAAAGTAACCCGTCGAGCAACTGAAACGCTTAACGTATCTAACCAAATCAGTTATTAGTATTAAGTTAGTCAGTCAGTCATCTACACGTATGACCAGGCAAATATATACATCGGTCCAAGTTTACATACATCATTTGTACAATAAAATGAACACCAAATTCATAGAACCAGTTAATTCAGTCGTAGCAATATATATATAAAAGATCGTATATAAGGATATGATACAGGGAAAAAGAATTACTTCATATAAGGAAAGGTATAAAGTAAATTTAATCTCACGGTTTAAGGGGAGACAAAGAGTGCATATACCAACGCCTTTGTGGTCGATTCTCAGACATGTCGTCCAAGTTATTAGTATTAAAATGGACACTAACTTAAACCACAACTGAAATAAACTTTTTCATCTTAGGAGTAAGTAAAACGATTCAAGCACTCCAATATTTCATATCAACGTATCGTGACATGGCAAAGCAATTGTTGTGCCCATTGACAACATAAGTTAATTTGGCCTAAGAACAATAAAATATCAAACTGCACTTCTGAAATACGTTACACAAACTGAAACGCACTTTTTCACTTAATATAAATCAAACATTATTAATACTTATGTTCATAGGGTAGGTAACTTTGAGACGTTGTATGTCTCCCCTATTTCTTTTTAATTCAAATCGTTTTTTTCTTATTTGTTAGGTAACAATTATAAAACTATGCAAGTTCAATTTTCACTCTTTAAGCGGTTCAAATAACGATTAAGTACTTTCAAAATCTATTTAAATAAGAGAGAAAAGAAGCATCATCTTACCAGTCAAGAAAAGAAAAATTTACAGTTGGATGTGTTTCTTCAATAAGTTGTTTAGCTTGAGTATAAGATGTAACTTCTATATCATTTATGCATTGAATCTTATCACCAAAACGCACTTTATTCAACTTTGCGGAAGATCTTTCGTCTACATGAGAAACAAATAACCCCTTTAAACAAAAGAAAAACAAATTCAAAATAAATAACGTGTGCAATTTATTGAGACATAAAAAAACATAATGAGAAAAGAATGACAATAGCATATCTGATTATGATAATACACTTTGCATCCTTCAGAATGATTGTAATCTAAGCTATAATCCCAAATGTGATAAGCTTGAACTCAACATTTTATAGAAACAAAAGCTCAAACTATATTTAAGCTTTTTCTCCAAATAAACTTGATAAACGCTTTTAAATCCACTAATGAGATAAAATATTTCAAAAACACCTAGTCACAGGAGTCCTAGCTATTTTTTTACTAGTGAAACGTTTTTATCCTACATCTCTTTATATTAATTACTTTACTAGTAAGTTTTCAAGATGTTGGAATAGTCTACTCTAATCTGTCAGTGAAATAAAATCACTAGGATCAGTTATTCATTGCATTAATATATATCTTTCCTCTAAAAAATCCTTAAAGGTGCATACATTTGGGACTAGACTCGATTAAATGTTTAATCTATATTATTACCAAGTGTATTAATTAAAATTTCCTAACTGCAAATATTTTACATTTACAGAGTCCCTGGTATATTTAACTAATTTAAATAAAATCCCAATCCGTAGATTATAAAAACAACTCAACACTTGGATAGCGGCAAACGAATCAAAAGAATTTTTATTGCTTCAGTTCTCTTCCTCTCTCTCTCTCTCTCTATATATATATATATATATATATATATGCATATGTATATGTATATATATATATATTTATTTATTTAATTAATTAATTAATTTATTTATTTATTTATTTATTTATTTAATACCTGTTTTATTTCTGTAAATGTAAAACCGACGTTATTATTTTTGGTTTTAGCAATTGAAATTGTTCGACAATTAGGACCACCATCTTCAACTAAGGATACCAGACTAGGACTTAGTGGTAATTGTGTACAGCTTTGTATTGGTAATACAATATCATCATTACTGACATCACCATTATTGATATTATCCGTTGAATTAGGAGTCTCTTTCTTTTCAGTGACACATGACATTGAATTATCACGCATAGCTAACAATCCTGTGATCTCCAATATTTCATCATATGATGTTACAATCTCCTTAGAATTTTGATCGTCCTCAGACATTGTACTTTTTTATAATACAATTCATTGAAGAGCCGAATGAATAATCTTCAAAAACTACTGGTTACTAGTTTGCAACCTGATTCATCAGGGAGTATAATACAAGGTCCACAGATGATATGCTTATACAAAACAACTAGGCTGTAAAGAACATTTGAGTTGTAACGTGGAGTAGTTTTCAAATTGGAGTCTAAAACCTAGAAAATGAGTAACGAAAAGGATAACCACTAGAATATAAATGTTTTAATAGTAAAAACTGACTATTGTTTTCCTTAAGTACATTTATCGCAAAGATGTTGATTAATATAAAAATTGAAGATCATTCATCAGTTAAGTGTAAGATGTTTGGTAACTAGTTTTTATCGACAATTCCCGTTGTTAAAGAGACTATAAACTTGATATGACTATGTAATCACTGTGCTGGATAACCTCCCAATGTCTTATAATGCACACTCCTGGATAATGCTTTATCAGAAATCGTAACTGTCATGAAGGACGCCTTTGATGATTTGATGAGATAAAATTTTGGATTGTTAAAATCAATAAATTAAAGGTTAATTAATAGATGAACACAGTGATATGATGCGACTGAGTGGTTGCTGTTTATAAGACCGTATTATTAACTCAAACCCATATGATTAGAAACCGAAGACGATACTACTGAGCCAGAAAATAAGATATTTTTATCATAAAATAACTTGCTTACATACATAATTTGAATACAAAATAAACATGGTCAACTGTGATAGGCAATCAAAAGGTATTAGTTCGTAGGTCATACATAATCCAATCAATCAAAGCCTACCTGTAAGGTTCAATTTTCGGGGATCATTTCAAAAACCAAGATTCAATCACGAGGACTAATTCGATAGCATTAAAGTCGCCTACTACAAGGCTTTTGCCCTTGTCACACGGGGACTTAAGTTTACCTAGGAGAAAATCATCTGCTACACATTCTGGACTGCGATATACTACAACTAATTCAATATCTTGCCATCTACATTTCAGCCTACATTGCACCAGTTCATATGTCCCTGAAACATGTGCCGCTGTCTCAGCTATTCTTATGATTAGGGTACTTTTCGTGTACAGGATAACCCCGTCTCCCCTATAGTTTAATCTATCAGCCCCACTGGTTAAAAAACCAGTCAACTGAATTTCATTATCTAATACTTCTGACGTTCACCAAGTTTCTGAGACTGCAATAACATCCGGTTTTTCTTTATCCACTTATTTAGTAGACTGAGAGCATTTGTGCAGCGTACCTTTAAGTCTTTGGAGAACTTTTCGGCGAGACTCTAATTTAGCGACGACCTTTGAACGAATCTTAAATGACCTTGACAATTATTAGCCAATCAGAAGACTTTTAGTTTAAAGTGAGAATATATTGTAAGTAAGTAATGAATTACAGTGGATATTCTTCTTTTACATGACTTAAAAACTTGTTAAGGTTTGATAAAGGTTCAGAGGCTCTGAATTGGTAATGCATATGGTATAGAAACTCGTTCATAGGGTTAGTGGTTGGGGCTGTAGCCTAGGGTTAGGGTGCTAACATCCGATCAGTTTACAACGGATTTTAGAGGTTTGGGGTGAGAGTTTGGGGTTATGGTTAGGGTCACAGTGAGGTTGAGGCCTGTCAATAAACACCTCTTCTTTAAAATACGATGTAAACCGATGGCATGTTAGCACCCTAACCTTAACCCTAAACCCTAATCTAACCCTAAGCCCTAAACTTAACCCTAACCTTAACCCCTAACCCTATGGACGAGTTTCTATACCATATGCATTATGAATTCAGAACTTCTGAGCATTTATCAAACCTCAACAAGTTTTTAAATCATGTAAAAGAAGAATATCCACTGTAATTCATTACTTTCTTGTAATATATTTTTACTTTATACTGTCTTCTAATTGGCTAATAATTGAAATTGCTCAAACGCTTCTCATTGGCTCGTCCCTAAATTAGAGTTCCGCTGTCCCATCTGTTTTAACCTCTCATTAAGCACCTCCTCTTTAAAATCCGCTGTGAACCGACCGTATGTTAGCATCGCATGTTGAACTTGGCTCCGTGACCTTGAAATTGCTCAAACGCTTCTGATTGGCTCGTCGCTAAATTAGAGTCTCGCCGAACTTTTCCTTACCACCCAGAGTGGTTTGGGGATCGTTTTGCTCCGAACTTTTACAATTTGAAAACCATTAAGAACGAGGTTTCTTTCACAGTTTCGGCGACGCTCATTTATTTCCACTTCTGCAGCTCGTCCCTAAATACGACCAGCTAGGCTGAGATCCTTACGGACGTATATTCCGGATTCAATCAGTTTACGTGAGTTACCTAGAATCAAGTTCCTTTTTTCAACCGTGACAAAGGCAAAAGGTTTTTCTGCCGAAGACAAAAATCCATGTAGTAGGGTGAGATGCGATATCGTTCATATCACCTTTTCTGACCCCCTTCATTCATTTTAAGAAAGTAGCATTGCTGCGGATGTTGGTCCTTAGGAAAACACATTACTCTTGTCACACAAATACAAAGTCAGCAGCAATTCTTTCCCGAACCTTAATTTGCCGCTCTGGAACCAGTGAGCTCACAGGCGAATGATAGACGAGTTGATCTTAAGAGTTTTAGAGAATCACATTGGTAATTTGACAAGATTACCACGTATTTTAAGCCAGCTAAAAAATAGTACCATTTATAAGCTGGAAGTCAAGATTACTCGCCTATATACATGATGAGAATTTAAAAAATTTATTTTACACAGAGAACAGTACTGTTATTTGTCAAGTTTACCTGAGTGATTCTTGTGAGCGTAATAGTTATTTCTTTCCAATACGAGACCAAAGATAACAGAAACTGTTTATTTTAAACAAAACAGCAATCCAAACTCGAGCATAAAATTATACCTTCAGACCGACACTTCGAATTGTCCCCAAGTGACCTTGTGTTTCTTTACTTTCAAAGTTGTGACCAATATTTCTTAAAGTTTTCAATATTATTCAGACCTCAGAATTTGGTAGACAGAAATGATAAACTGCTTTTTCCTTTTTGACTCGTATCCATGTAGCGATAAAGCGGTTTTATGGCCATTTTTAGTTGTTCATTCTTTCTAGTTTTTAAGGATAGATGTATAAAATAGTGTGTTGTCATGTGACATTGTACACATAATCATAGTGCAATTCATATGTTGCATTAAAAAAGATATTTACCTCTCATTTTCGTTGTATATATGCGTAAATATACCGTGCAACGTAACTACATTGTACATGTTACAGATTACCCTATGCTTCATGAGATTTCTAACTCTCTTTATTCCAAAACGTTAGATATATTTCATTTCATGCCGTTGATATTCGTCAGTCGAAAAAACTTAAACCCCGGATGAAAAAAATAAGATTATGATATTTCTCAACAAAGACATTTTGCTCAAGTAGCATTCCCTGTGTATTAATAGTTATTATTTTACTCCAGTTGATATAGATTGCTGCTTTCTATGCGAACCATTTGGAATTGCTTTGATATGATTTTATTACCACTTGTGTGTTAGCACTTTTGAATGAGTCTTCATGCCGTGTGTTTGAAAAGGTAAGTGCATCGGTCAATAGTGAGAATAATTAGCGAAGAGTAACAATATAATATTCATTGGTACCTAAAGAAATATGGTAATGGTTGACCTATCTTTTGAAAAACTCGACTAAGAGCGTCATCACTGTTTCTGCCGATAAGGAATTCCACAAATTTAAGGTCATGGTCATTAATTATTCCACAAAACTCATGTACAGGAAGAACGAATTGGATGTGTCACAAATGTTTGTCACCAACCTTATGAATGTATCGGTCTTCAACTAGATGACTTTACTATTGATTCAGGCACTTATCTTAAACCGTTTCTCTCAAAGATTCCAAATGTCTGAATACCCTGCGTCTCTCTACAAATCTCATGATAGTTCACGTGTATCATGCTTTGAGTACCTGTGGAGTCACGCTAATCAATAATGAACATTGAGGAATATCGGACCCACGAAACGGAACCATGCCACACTCCGCTCGCCGTAGTAAACAGAAAAACCCTGGAAAACTTCAACAGCTTATGGTTTCTCCGTCAATTAGTTTTACAACCACTTCTTCAGACACTCACTAATAGCAGTGTAACGACAGAAATTCCAATATTCGGTTTGAACTAACAAACAAAAGGTTGTTCTATTAAACCAGACCAAAGTTCTTCTATATAGCATACGATGCATTTTTGAATGACTCACATCAAATAATAATTAAATACAAACTCTGTGTTTGATTTAAACGGCTCTAGTTTGAGGAATTATATCAAAAGTAAAAAATGCCTAAAACGGGACACCTTGTGCAATACAGTCAAGGGTTTTTCTATTAAAAACAAGCTCGCTAAACAATAAAGCGAACAGTAAGTAAAAAAGAATTCAATACTTTAGGATCAGTGAAAATATTTCCAACAAGATTTGATCGAAAATAGCGAGACTATAATTTATGGGCAAACCAATTAGATTTAAGATAACAGGTCTCGGATTTGAGCGCCAAATTCATAAACTTGTACTAAGGCGTCGAGTCGCGGTTGACTATGATCAACACTACAGGAAAACTACGTGCTAGTTAACAGATAAGATCCACCGTAGGCCAACTATCAAAAGGCAGTTGATGGCTGTAGTCGAGATCGTGACAGGTTACAAGTGTGGTTACTGAGCGTAACCGAGTTCGCGCAGGGTCACGATCAACGGAGGAATCAATGTATTTTGGTACAATTAAACAAACAAGCACGGTAAAACAATCCCTAGTACAATTGATTGTAATAAAAATTGTTTCCATTACACCAATCGCGTTCTGTCGATAAAAGTATATCACTACACACTCACTTGGCTCAATACTATCTCGTCATTATGGCTGTTGTAAGTTCGTGATAAAAACCCTTAATTTAATTCCTAACCTTGTCATTCCTCACACTGCTTTTTAACCCTCTCTTCTAATCCTATGTAGTAGATTGGCATCTCTGTAAGATCCAAACTACGTTTGGACTGCTGGACAGCTGTCTGGATGAGTTAGATACGCGCCCTCGCCCGATTGAAACCAAAACAAAGGAATTGGGTAAGATAGCGGTTCTATAATTTATCATAAATTTAAGCGTACATTATTACCTAAACAAATATAACCACTCAGCTATCCAACCAATAATTGTTCAATTGATCAAATCTAATTACAATAAATAAGAAAGTTGATAAAGGATGCAAGAAATTTACCAATCACAACAAATCAACGTTATTCTATCCTGGCTGGATAGATCACACACAACAGGAGGAACAAATCAATATGGCTACCGCCAAGAACAAGTGTCAAGTAAAACAACACAGATGCAGTTCAGGAAGAAACACAAACTTAGTGAATGCGTAAGAAAACAAAAACTATAATAAAAAATACAAGTATTAACAACTCAAATGTAATCAAAATACAACAATGTACAACTAAGGGAATCAATAGGAACAAAGTACAAGTATATACATGGAGGGATTTTCACAAACACACAAAACATTCAAAATGGATCTTACACCGGCCCCCAAAATCCCTCCATACCACACAAGCTACCTTGATGCCTATGGTCATGGTTCATTATGTAGCATATTACACTATAGGAACGAGTAGGACTTACAGCAGTACGCCTACTCGACCTAACTACATTAATAACAAAAAAGACTAACCCGAAGCTTCAGGGAGACCTGCTTCATCTGTTCTCTGGTGATCAACAATAACAGTCGTGGTATAGACCTAATCACTCTTCCCCAAACTCCAGCCATGCTGTTGGATGAGGGTCTCGCTGACAATTCAATATTTATCTTCTGCTGATTCGACTGCTGCACAACCCTTCTTAACTCGGAAACTGTCCCCACGAAGCTTGACGCACTGTCACTGTAAATCTCCGGAGGTTTCCTTCTTCTTCCAATAAAACGTAATGAATCAGCAATCAAACTACACATCAGTTCAATATGTACTGCCCACGTTTGCAAACAAGTAAACACATATCTATATCCTTTTTCTAATGACCTTCCTATGTGTCCTGGTTCCTTATGATAATGTCTAATTATCATTTCCGTCACTAAGTGTCGACTGCGTAAAATTACTGGATGTTTAAAGGCATTTAAGGATTCGGAGTAGCTTAGCCGACCTGTAACACAGAGTAACCCATCAAGCATTATCGGTGATAAGCCTTTCAGATCATATCTTACTACTTTACTGCTGTTTCTAAATCCACTAAATAATTTTCCATACACTTCCCTTTGAACCATCAATAAATTCTTACACTTGGCGATGTCAACCTTTAAACATCCTAGATGAACGGATCCTTTACAACTTGGTGCACGATGTACCATCAGGAATTCGATGAACCTTCTAAACCAGGTTACAGCTCTGATTAATTTCAACCACTCGGAATAATAAGAGAGAATAGGTAACATGTTGTACTTTATACTACTCAAGTTACCCACAGCAGTTTTTCTAAGCTCAATAGCGTCAGGAGTATGTTCCGGACAGTCAGTGATTGTTATATAAAATTCGCCATGCAATAAAGTAGGGCATTCGAACCAATATTCAAGATAAGTCACTTTCTGTATGCTTCCTCTACATAATAATTCACTTATATGTTTAACGAAACTCTTTGCTTGATTACAAGTGGGAATGGATATCAAGCAATCATCAACATAGAAATTATTCTTGACATCATCTACAACATAACCATCAGAGAATATTTGGGCCGTCTTATTCAAGGCAAAGTTTGCTGGCTTTTTCGGATTTAAAACTGCATGGTGAGGTAAGTACCACCGGGGGTGATAACTAGGTCGCAATTGTATTTCAAGGATCTCCGCATAGCCCTGAATAAAATTACTTTCAATACCTGTGGTATACTTGATATACAGAAGGTCATCTTTCGACAATCTACGCTTCACGCTCTGTAGTCTATTGTTTGCCACTTCATAATTCCTCCCTTTCATATTTGAGTTCACTTTCCATGGTACAGGAACTGCAAAATGACCATTTTCGAAGCGTGTGCCTCCTTCCACAATCCTTATAGCCGCCTTATTTTCTATTGATACTGATTTATCCTTTGAATTATCATCAGAAAACTCTACATCGTAAAGTTTACGTATTTCGTTCTCCAAAGTCTGTAATTTACTGGTATGATTAACAACTCTTTTCCTATGTTCCGAATATGACGCGGGTCCGAAAACCGTCCACCCCAGCAACGTTTTCACAGCGTACGGGTTCTTCCTTCCACCCAACCGTTGGTCTAACACCCAATGTGCTTCTGGTACGTCGCAACCAATCAACAGTAAAACTTCTTCAGAGTCTAGGCTATCTATTGGCACATCACTTAAATGCGGCCACTTAACTAGGTTGTTCATTGCTGATTTTGTTGGCTTATGACCTGGTATACTCGCTACAACCAGAGCTCCTTCAATAGTAACATGTTCAGATTGATCTAAAGAATATACCTCAAAAGGCGCACTCGTGACCTTCATTGTTCTATTACCGCCCACAGTCTCAACTACCACTGATGCTTCGTCTTCGCTCAGCCCGAGAGACCTCAAACAGTTTGATCTTATCAGTGTCACATCAGAACCGTTGTCCAACAGAGCATAACCCACAATCTCGGCTTTTCGCGATTTCAACCGTACGGGAATCATGCCTAAACACACTTGACTGATTAGTGATTTAGTATATCCGCAACAACTCGAGGTACCAGGTTTCTCACTCTCGCTGTGTAACAAAGAATGGTGTTTCCTTTCACAACCCTCAACGTTACAACGTTTTGCCAGCTTACATTCACTAACTTTATGCCCTTGCCTGAGGCAGACAAAACAGATGCCATTAACCTTCGCGTGAGACCATCTCTCTTGAACGGTAAGCGCTAAAAAATTTGGACATTTATAAATAGCATGGTCCAGGGAACACACACTGCATTTAGCTTTCTCTTTCGAATTATTCGCCTGCTCCAATTGCAAGTGACAATTTGTCTTTAAGTTGTGTCCCTTTCTCGGACGATTCGCTAACCGTCCAAACCTACTATTAGCTACCCTCGCGCGGGATGCTATAAATTGGGTAAGCTCATCAAAGGTTGGTTCTCTATTATCTTCAGTCAATTCATCTACCCAGTCCGCCCACTGGGCTTGCATAACTTGAGGTAAGAGTCCTACTATTCTCTCTAAGGTAATTAAAGAGTTTAAGTCGGCAGTATACTTCATCTGTTTCAAAACCATAGAACAATTTTCCATCCTAATAGCTAGATTTGTTAGTTGCTCAGGATCACTGTAATCAACATTTGTAGTTTTGAATAAGTCCTCTAAAGTCTCCCGAGCGATTACATGCGCCTGTCCGAACAACCGTTTTAGAATTTCCTTGGCCTTCTTGTAACCAAAAGAGGCTTCCAACATAACACAACCCTCAATGGCTGTTTTCGCTTTACCCTTACAATAATGCATCAAATAAAGCAAGCGTTGACCATCATCCTTGACCCTTGATTCCACATAGGTCTCAAACTCCCTTAAAAACTTCCAGTAACCTCTTGGTTGACCGTCGAAATAACTTAACTCAACCTTTGGTAACTCTGGACCTATGAAAAACGCTGTAGGCCTTACGCCTTTTGCTTGCTTCACGTCTAAATTAAGGTTTTCTATGCCATCTGCCATTATATCACAACTAGATTCACTATAATTACAATCGTCCCTATTAGAATATGAACCATGACACATAGAAGCATCAGAAGGCACTTGCCTTGATTGAGGGGATCCATCCTTTTGTTCATCTCTTTTAACATTCACGAGCCTTGGACTTAATTTCCTTCGACGATTGTTTGGCATCGGAAGCGAACGACCAGATATTCCCAGAGACGATGATTGGAATCAACGAAACGAAAGCCAAACGAATTCGACCAAATATTTGTTTAGAACTGTAAGATCCAAACTACGTTTGGACTGCTGGACAGCTGTCTGGATGAGTTAGATACGCGCCCTCGCCCGATT